GTGTCCTCGGCAGACGTACAACGTGGCCCGGCAGGTCCCCGACAGCGCGGGGACGGCCACAGCCTACCTCTGCGGGGTGAAGGGCAACTACCAGACGGTGGGGCTGAGCGCGGCCGCCCGCTACTCGCAGTGCAACACCACGAAGGGCAACGAGGTGGTCTCGGTGCTGGAGCGAGCCCGCAAAGCCGGTAATGGGGATCACGGATCTCGGCGGGGCTGGGGAGGGACCCCGCGGGGACAAGGGGCATCAGGCCAGGGGCTGCCCGCCCTGAACATCCCGGGGCTCGATAGCCGGGGAACCCAGGTTGCCCTTTCTGGGGCCTGATGGGTCGGGGGGTGGCAGGGAAAGCGGTGGGCATCGTGACGACGACGCGGGTGCAGCACGCGTCGCCCTCGGGGACCTACGCCCACGTGGTGAATCGCAACTGGTACGCGGATGCTGACATGCCCAAGGATGCCCTCAGCCAGGGCTGCAAGGACATCGCCTGGCAGCTGGTCCACAATGTCGACATCAACGTGAGAACCCCTGCATGGCGGGCCGGGGTGGGGGAGGGGAGCAAGGGCAGACCCCCCCGGGGCACCTCTGCTAGTGCTGCGCCCGTCTCGTCCCCTCCAGGTGATCTTGGGGGGCGGTCGGAAATACATGACCCCCCTGGGGACGCCGGACCCCAAACATCCCGCACGCCGGGGCCTGGCAGGCACTGGGATGCGTGCGGGTGCTGAGGCTGTCCCCAACGTGTTCCCTCCCAGGTCTGTTTGAACCCGCAGACATGAAGTACGACCTGCTGCGTAACACCAGCCTGGACCCGTCGCTCACCGAGATGACGGAGGCGGCCATCACCATCCTGAGCAGGAACCCCAACGGCTTCTACCTCTTTGTGGAAGATAAGTCAGGGCCGGTGTCCCCAGGGTGGGAGAGACGGGGGTCCAGGTGGGGGTAGGGGTTGAGGGTGCTGTCGGTGGTCCCCAGCCCACCGCGGGCACCTGTCTGCAGGCGGCAGGATTGACCACGGCCACCACGATGGTGCAGCCCATTACGCGCTGACGGATGCGGTGGCGTTTGACGAGGCCATCGAGCGGGCGGGTGCACTGACAGATGAGGCACAGACCCTCACCGTCGTCACCGCCGACCACTCGCATGTCTTCTCCTTCGGTGGCTACACCCTGCGTGGCACCTCCATCTTCGGTAGGGCTCTGCCCAGCTGCCGAGAGTGGGGCACAGCCCTATGCTGGGCGCTGACAGCTCCGGGGCACCCTGGCTGCGACCGGAGAGGTGATACAAGGGTTTCTTGGCTGATCTCCCCCCCTTCCATTGCCCCCTCCCCAGGTCTGGCCCCAAGCAAAGCTGCTGATGACAAGAACTATACGTCCATCCTCTATGGGAACGGGCCGGGCTACGTGGGCGTCAACCGGACCGACTTGGATGAGGACACAGCCAGTGAGGGCACAGGGACCGTGGCCGGGTGGTGGGACGGGGCTGGGGGCCGTCCCTGGCCCCTTCACCCCCTTCTCTCCCCTCCCCAGTGCAGCTCGACTACAAGCAGGAAGCGGCCGTGCCCCTCACCTCGGAGACCCACGGCGGCGAGGACGTGGCCATCCTGGCCAAGGGCCCCATGGCTCAGCTCTTCCACGGGGTGCAGGAGCAGACCTACGTGGCCCACGCCATGGCCTATGCCGCCTGTCTGGCGCCCTACACCGCCGCGCGGCCGCGCGGC